TGGGGGGTAATGACAATGACTTGTTCAAGTCAATTCTTTTTTGATAGTATCCAGGCTTGGCCCTGTCCGTTACTTGGTTTGAGGTATGGATTTGTAATTGATTGAGAGTCGGTGTGAAGCAACTATAGCCCCTGGGGGTGTTATTTATGAAATGATACGGCATCTGGGCCGGGCATATCTTCACGTTTGAGGTTATCGCTGTTTCCAATAGCACGGGCTTCGACTCTCGAGACGTCCTGGAGAGACTACATTTCGGCCTTTAGAAACACTGAATCTGTGGATATCGTGAGTTTGGGATACATCTTATCTACATTTGGCACGCGGCAAGCCCACGTAGTCAATAGATGTTTATATAGTCCTATTAGCTCTACAGTTATAGGACACTCGATATTTCACAGACCAACAAATTGTAATAAGTTCCTGGGAAGCGTGGGGGCGTGTGTAGGGCCTAGGCCACTCACTCCCACATGTCAGTTAGATAAATGTACTTCAGCCACTCCCGAGGTACTCTTGCGGGTGGGCTTCCGACCTCCGCCGGTACTTGCCCGCTCCCAGGCAGTCATCAGACCCACCAAGCCACAGCGATCACACTCTATTCGGGGTAGTACTGGTGGTCTGTCATGGCCGTATCCGTATCTTACGGCCGATTCCATCCCCTCAACTGCACGCTGCCCCTCGAATCCTGTTCTTGACGGCTCTCAGGTTGGGACACAGCAGTACCCTTCCGCCGGTCCCAGTCCTGTCATGCTCTTTGAAAGGTCAGTTTGACTGTTTCGTTCTTTTTGTACAGATTCCGGTAGAATTATTGCGAAAGTGGGTTCTCCGTGACCCGATAGTCCTATTGGCCCTTAAGAATTTTTTGCTACGAGCACAGACCAACAAAATCCACTCTTTTAGCTCTGATTTTCGCAATAATTTTACCGGAAACTGTACATAGGTATTTACGAGTAACCGCCGTTAGGTCAACCTCCGCGGACTAACGCTTCTCTGAGCCCCGTGTGGCTGTAGGACATACCTGGCTGCTTTTCCTTTCTTTTTTCTTGCAGCCGTACCACCGGGATTTAGCTCTGGCGCCCTCTCTCAATTGCACAAGGACTCAGAGCAACGTTGATGGAGCCTTAATTGCTGACAGAGCTGATAGTGGTTTTGATGTAAGGGGAAAGACATATACGGTGTTTAAGCTTTGAGAGACACGGCTATACGCCCGTCACTGGATCACCATAGCAAAGCTTATGGTTGTGTAGGTTTGAACTTTGAACATGAGTACATGTAGAGTTCGATGCATATGTAACGTCACAAAGTATCACTCGACAGAAGGTATCGCTCGACGGAGCAAGTCCCCAGTGGGTCCTTCCCACGGGCGGAAGCCAACGGCTTCCAGGTCAAATGTAGTTAGTATTTCTCTATTTAGACGTGGTCTAGACCCCTCGGACAGGGCTGCAGGGCTGAGAGATTAGTCAAAGTCAACGTCTGTGGTCCCTGCCGGAGGCCGGGTTTGAACCTTGTGGACCAGGATCAACGTGATATTCGTCATTTGGAAGATTGATTAAGAAGAGCCTCTATTATCGGTATCGAGAACTCGCTTTGAGGTGGCTCTGGTGTAAAAAGGCATAGTTTTTCTGTTTGTTTCCAAACCACGCAGGTTTCAAATTTATAGCATATTCCAGGTGACTGTGCAAAATTCAAGGGTTCAAGGACACATGATTACGCAATACGCATTGATATTATGGCTTCGGCTCAAGGCTGAACCCAGGAAGGAAAACAAGCTAGTGTACAGGAAATAGAAGCTGCAAGGTATAATAAAGAGCGGTATTACAAATACCAGAAGCTACAGCTTCGATAGCTAGGCTGTTTTAGCCAACTCCTTCTCGATGGCCGTGGCCAAGGACTCGGGCTTGGTTGTTGAGGCCCAGCGCTCAACAACCTTTCCGTCTCTACCGATGAGGAATTTCTCTGGTCTGATGTTAGGAGAGTTTAGAGACTAAGTTCTGCACGTGGAGCTTACCGTAGTTCCATTTGATCATTTTCAGTCCCATCAGACCGGCTTTCTGGCTCTTGAGGTATCTGAGATAATAGTATATCAGTAATGGTTAAAAATCGCAGTGGGGGAAAGTTGTATATACTCATAAACCGGAGAAGCCTTGTCACCGTTTACGTCGATCTTTCCAAGAATAGGAAACTTGATACCGTAGTTCAATCTTCACACACAGTTAGAAAAACAGGACTTGGATAAGTTGTTAGAATTAGACGAGGGTTTCCATACGTGCAGAACTAAATAATGAGTTAGCATAATTATATCTTATGAGTGGAATACATGGCTTCTCATACGTTCTGAATCTCCTCAGCAGTGCCGGGCTCCTGTCCACCGAATTGGTTGCAGGGGAACCCGAGAACGACCAATCCATCCTCCTTATATTTCTCGTAGATCTTCTCGAGGCCTTCGTATTGCTATAGAGAAAGGTTGGGTGTTCAGTATTCATTTATTATTCGATTCCACGCCTCACAACAGAATCTACTTACACCAGTGAAGCCACACCTGTACCACCGTTTGTTAGCAAACCTGTGCAGTAGAGTGGAAGAAGAAAGGGGTGTATTACTTGCTAGCAACATTGACAATCAGGACGACCTTGCCCTTGAGCTCGTTGAAGTCATAGTCCTGGCCCTTGGAGTCAAGAGGCTTCAAGTCGTAGAAAGTAGTAGCAGATGCCATTGTGATGCGTGAAGTGTGATATTTCTTTGTTGTGTGTGTGTTTGTGTATGGGATGTATCTGAATGCGGCTGATGCAAGCAGGAAGATATGTGAGAAGAAGAAGGGTCTTAAAGGAAGAAGAAATACTCGACCAGGACGGATGAAAGGGTTAGCCCGTCCCGAGCTCGGCGATCTGGATGCTGTCATATGTCATCGAATGTTCCTTCGGCAAGTCCACTGATAAGCGAGATGCCTGCTCATCATGTCCGATCTTTCACTACCCTGGCCAACCCCAGTTGGAATCGGGGGATAACCGACCCTAACCCTGTGTAGCATTTGTCACAACGTCGTCTGCTCAACGACCACTGTGTACTGCCATGCACGTATTTGTCAAAGCCGTGCACAGCATCAACCGTCGTATATCGTCGGTGCCGAGGATTAATTGAGCCTCAATATATGAATAGTAAATACGATCAATTCAGCCATTTTAGGCCTACACCATAGCCCACAAGAGAATATTGAGTGCATTATATTGCAAGGTCGCTGAATATTAGATTAGATGGAATACGGCTCAAAACTTCTTAGCTAACTCCAAATCCTTGGATTGTTTTCTTTTTGTAAATATCCAATGTAGACTAGCTACATGTAGATACATGTATTCATCTGGGACCGTTTGTAGACTTCAATATTTGCTACTGCATCCGATTTAGTGGCCCCTAGCGTCCTTCCCGATCGGGATTGTTTATTAGATCTGTGAGGAACCGGAGAGAGCAAACTTCCGTTTCCTTATAATCCAGAGCTCTTCCGCTGATTAATTGGTTGCGGCTCTCTGTTAATATTCTTTTTCGGTTAAGTGCAGGATAGAAAGACGAAACGGGCATAACTCAAGAAGGGTATATACTAGGGAAGACAAAAGGGCGGTGCAAGACAGTACGGAAGTGCGGCAGGGGAATATAGAGGAACTCAAAGAGGTGTAAGAGTGAGTGAGGCGGGATTAAGAAGAGGTATAAGGGACTCATGAGGGTGTTTAGAGAGGCTAATCAAAGGCGCAGCTCAGAGAGAGGATGGAAGAGAACCTATGTACATGTATAGAAGGAAAACAACGATAGAGGGAAGATATACAGAGGGGGAAGTGGATAGGACAGAGGTGGAGGAGATCTCGAGAGAGAAGTCTAGGGGAGGAAGTAGAAAAGAGACAGACAGATGAAGCTATATAGAGACGTTTCTGTGGTCGGTGAAGCTGTTCAAGGCGAGGATGCACTGAAAGCTAGGGAATGCGTTGAGGCCATTCGGCCTCATTCGTCTCTGATTGTGCCCGACCTCAAGTTTTTGGAGGCTGGTCTCAAGGTGGAGGTGTCTCGACCACACTGGGAACTATAAGGAGTTAGCCCTGGAGCTAGATCTAGAGTAGGACTGAGAGACAGATGGGTGCGTCCGGTGGAATGTGGACGACCAGAACAAGGTGTACAGAGAGAAGGGATATTGAAAAAGAGACAGCAGTAAGGTAGAAATAAAATCCCATGTATACTCACTCACGTAATATGAGCAGCGAGCTGTTCGTAGGGATGAGTTTACATGTAGTATTGTGCCCATATTCATAAGCAGTCACGCGGGTCGCCGATACCCTTTGCCCTAAGGTAAAGAGAGATATTGGAGTACGCAATTTTCAGATAATACACTGTAGAACTGGCTGCTAGTCTCGAGTACACATGTATGTAGGCACATGTAAATTCGCCGATTTCTTGACCCGTTAGCTGTGACCTACTAGCCCAGCCGTCATTCTGTGATGCGGGGGTGAAGTTGCCGGGGGGTCCGTTTGTTACTTGCAGCTAGCTGCGGGGGAGGCGGGGGAAAGAGAGGGTGGGGGGGGGGGGGGGGGCAGGTCGTTACATGTGCTTTAAAAACCTACACTGGCGGAGAGAAGACGCAGGTTGCTGTTGCAATCACTCGGTGCACCACCACCCCTCCGTTTGGAACACTCATCAGCACTTCGCACAATGTTTTCTTGAATTTAGATAAATATTATCTGTAAGAACATAAGAACGCCGCACCCTATATAGCTAATATATAATGTACCCTAAACAAAGTATTGTTACAAATTTAATGTTATAATAGTTTTCCAATAACCTACATATACTCTGATCCCACCGATCGTTTTTAGCTAACTCATCTTTTTTTTTTTTCAAACTCGCCATCTCTTAACACTGGGATAATCAGCCCTCCTTGATTCTCTTCCTAGAACCCCCTAATGAATCGTCCGGCAATCCGCTCCTCTTTGTTCCTGGTAATGATATGTCGTTGTCTTCTTGACTTACTCTGCGGTGAGGATACTCAATTGACTGGCTCTCAAATGCACTGTTTGAAAACGTAAGCCATGATCTTGCAAGATATAAAGGGCGGGGGACGCTTTACTTTAAAGTCAACTTGGTACCTTCAGTAAAGTATGGGTGCTCCAGCGCTGCTTGCGCAGTCAGTCGTTGCGTCGGGTCATAATTCAACAGCCCTGACAGAAGTTGGAATCCTAATGCGTTTGTAGCGCCGATATTGTGGTACCACCCTTCAAGGACATTCGGCGATGCCTTGAAACTATTTAATTGACCAAACTCAGGTTGTTGGACTACACCAGGCCATCTCTCCTCTATAAAACTTTATAAGTTTCCGGTCCTGATGAGAGTGAATGGGATGTTAACTTACTGGTAGGCATTCCAAGTATCTCAATAATCTTCTGCATCTGGTTTCTTTGAAACGGCACAGTACTTTTCTTCTCCATCTTGGCTTCCTCGCCCTTGAATATTGGTCTGAGAGCCAATAGCTCAGCGAAAATACATCCTACAGCCCAAAGATCTATTGCTGCAGTATAGTGTTTACTACCAAGCAATAGCTCAGGAGCTCTGTACCATATGGTTACAACCACCTTATCTCCGGTGTACAGACTCTGTAATGGTTTCCAGAATAGTCTCGCCAGACCCAAATCACCTATCTTAACCTCACCCGCCGCGGTCACCATTATATTAGCTGGTTTAAGATCTCGATGCAAAACCCAGTTCTGGTGAAGATAGGAGACGCCATTAAGTAGTTGCCACAGAATAGATTTTACAGTCGCCTCCGGTATTAGGCGACGTTCTGGGTGCGAATGGAAGTGAACTATTTGCTGCGAATGATTAGCGAAATGGTAATTATTTATCACGTTAACCAGGATGCAGTACCAAAAGGTCATGTTCGGCGTACTCAAAGACCATGTAAATGCACTTGTCTTCCAGTATGATCTCGTGTAGGTGGATTATGTTCTCGTGACCCAATTCACTACATAGCTACAGCGCCGAGTCAGCTTTAAGCTACCTAGAAGGTAGAGGAATATACCCACAGCCATTTCCCTACAAGCAGATTGAGATATTCCCGTGTACTGTATAATTTCGCCTTCTTTGTCCGGCTTGAACCTATTGTAGACAGAGGAGAAACCTAAATTAGGATAATGTTCGCGTTTACTTGGGCAACGAAATGAGATATAACGAGAAGGAGAACGAGTCTTACTTTTTGATGGCGAACTCCTTTGTATTTCCCGGAAGCTTACTCCTTGCCTTGTAGACCCTACCATATGTACCGCTAGAGATAAACCCGATTATCTGGTAACGGTCCAGAACCCGAACTTTACTTCTATAAGGGGGCATATCGTGCACTCGAAGCTGTCGCGACGAAAAACTACGGCGCTGGTCGGGGCGGAAGTGGTGGACGAGACGGTAACAGTAGTGGGTGTATGGCAGGCAGTGGGTTTGCAGACCCGGGTTTCCGCAGCGATCGTGCTTCTTGTCGACGTTGAGCTGCTCCCTATCGCATGCGACCAATCAGTTGAGGGCCGGGGCCAAAATAAGTGTAGTGGACTTTTCGACGCCAGAACTTTTGCGGAACTAAATCGTGGGGTTGATAGCGATATGTACCAATGTATCTACCTACTTTTCTATGATGTTCAAGCTGGCAGCTCAAATCAGCCTTAATTCAATTCCACCGGGAAAATCGGTCACAGAGCCGCGGAACGCCTGTGTGGCTTGTTGTTATGGGGATCTGAGATTCTGTGTAACATTAGGCTGTTGGCTGCGTTGCCCGTTGTTGCAGGCAGGGAGGGGAGAGTTTAGTAGATACATAAATGGAGCTACAACCGTCGCGTCGCCCATCTTCTCACAACTGCGAGTGAGGCCTGCATAGTAGAGAAGGCGTATACATATTTTACATATTTTAGTATCAAAACTCACAACTCCTGACCCGCACGGAAAGAAAGGGAGGAACTCACAGCTTATGCACTCACTGACTGGACTTTTTCCAAGACTATACTAAAGTTGATTTTCGGCGCCCACGAGCTCGAATTACTATTTAAGCCCTTCTTCTCCCTCTCCTTCTCTTTCTTCTTCCTCCTTTCTTCTCATTTTCGATAATTTCATCTTCATACTTTCCCTGCCCATCAACTTCATCTTCTTAAAATCATTCACGATGACTTATACTTGGTCATTGTGCTTTGCTATCATCACCTTGGCACTTGGAACCACACTCTTTGGGTTCTCTATCGTAAGTGCTCTGATATGAGTTTTGATACACATTTACTTCATCTAGATACTAACCTGCTATTTACTGCTGTAGGCTGAACTCAACGCGCCTGAAAATGCTATTAGGCGCAGTCTTGGCCTCAATGACGCTCAATTGGGTCAGTATCATACTCATTCTTCATATTATCTTAATTTTTCATATTATCTTAATTATTCACATCACCTCAATTCTTCACATCATCTCAATTCTTGACTCTTTTCGTTGTCTGCTACTTTCACTGCCCACTATTTTCTATTCTCATCACTTTCATTACATCCCCTACTTATGTATCCACTGCAACTATTTCATTATCTAGCTTTCTGTTTTCATAATATTCGTCGTTACCATTCTCATTAATACTATCACTATTCTGATGATTTTTGTCTCCTCAATATCATCTATCTTATTGACTTTCATCGTTTTATAACGCTGGATAATTCATATACGTTATTATCTGGCTGTTTGCCACTATTTCCCCCGTTCTTTTTTTGTCTTTTCCTCATCCCCTAAATAGTTCATCGAGTAATTTTTTTCTCCACCTTTACTGCTAGTTTTGGAAACGCAATAACTAATATAAGTATGTGTTTAGGTGTCGCAAGTTCTGTCTTCGCGCTTGGCGGGCTCTTTGGAGCCCTACTTGCCTCTCAGACCTTGCAGCACATCGGTCCCAAAAAAACTGTTTTCGTAACTTCGCTCCTCTACTTCGTTGGAGGGCTTGTAAAGGCTGTCGCCCAGGATGTCACTCTCTTGGTTGTCGGAAGATTGATCTCCGGAGTTGCGGCAGGAGCCGTTACTGTTGCTGTTCCCCTTTTTATCAACGAATTGGCCCCACCAGGATCGAAAGGGAGGCTGTAAGTTTACTTTGATTCAATTCTCTCGATTTATTCTCTAACTCTTTACTACAGTGGAGCGACTACACAGGTCACTATCAACGTCGGGATTTTGCTCACCCAGATTTTGGGCGCATGGTGCAGTAAGTTGTCACATTATTAGCTGCTGTCTTTTTTTGTCAATTCTATGTTCTAATTATCCCAGACACGGAACATACATGGAGAATTGTGATGATCGCCGGGTCTGCCTTGGGAGCATTGCAAGCAGTAATGCTTATCGGTGTTACCGAATCCCCGGAAACTTTCTACAAGAACGGAGACAAGGAACTTGCGAAAAAAACTTTGATTTCCTTGAGAGGTACTGAAAACGTTAGTGAAGAGTTCGATACCTTTGGACCTAGCGAAGCAACTGGCAATGGTAAGATCTACTCTTATATTCTTTGATCTTTTTGATGTCCTGTGTTTAGATCTAATTCATTTATAGAGCAAGCATCAGAGAATGACCCGTTACTCGAGGGAACACCCGCAAAAGCCGATAATACCGAAACGGGGCTCTTTGATTTTGTCACAAAAAAGCAACACAGAGTTTCATTCGCCCTAGTTGTTATGATCATGATTACGCAGCAGTTCACCGGTAAGTTACTCCCTGATCCTTCCTCGCTCAAGTGTAAGTAGTTCTAATAGTTCATAAGGTATCAACGCTGTGGTTATGTATGGAGTTGCGATCTTGAGCAACATGCTCCCACAATATGCAGGAGGTCTCAACGCAGCGATTTCAGGAATCAATCTGATAATCACGATTAGTGCCTCTACGTTGTTTGACGTGGTTTCTCATCGCTCCCTGCTTCTAACGTCGATCATTGGTATGACAATTTTCGCGCTTACCCTCGCCTGCGGTATGATGTACAATTTCCCTGTTTTGTCAGCTGTGGGGGTCTTCTTCTTTGTCGGTTCCTTCAGTATCGGGCTCGGTCCACTACCTTGGATGGTAGCTGCGAACAACGTTCCCAGGAACTCGATCGGAGCAGCACAATCAATCGCTCTTGTTGCAAATTGGGTTGGCACCGCGGTAGTCAGCTTCGCTGTACCTGTGGCTGCTGCTAGTATGGGCATGGACATGGTATTCTTCGGCTTTGCTGGGCTTGGCGCGCTCTTCTTCGTTTGGGGATTTTTCTTCCTTCCTTGCAACTAGTAATTTTTCCATTTTTTCTTTTACTTTTCATTTCCTTTTAAAAATGTCTCTTTCTTTCCTCTTAAAAAGTGTTTCTTTCTTGTTCTGATTTACCTTAGCTGGCTTCAATTTTCCGCAGTGCAAAAAAGAAAAAAAGAAAAAGAAAGTTTTATACTTGCTGAAAAATAATTGAGTGACTTCTCTCTTGTGAAATCAGCCCCTCAACTTTAGCCCATGGGCTGCCCTGAACAAGAAAGTTCTGGCATCTTAAACATATCGAAACGTCCCAAGTTGCGCATGCATGCGGTACATGGAAGTCCGGATGGTGGCATCCTGTAGTGCGATGTCTTGGCGCATTGCTTGCGAGTGATTGCTCATGTTTTAACTATCATCATATGCCAATATGATAGAAAAGGAATAAAGACAGAAAAAGGTACTTGACAAATACCACTGACCTGATCCAACCTGCAGTCACACACCGACATATTGTTAAGAGGTCTTTATATACAGTTTCTGCTAAACATAAGTAAAATTCGATTCGTAGCACGTTTATATACTGGGATATGGGGCGGTAAATGTGTCAAAAGTAATTTTACCAACGGTAGTAAATTATTTTACCACCGGTGGTGAAAATAATACCAGTATCTATACCTATAATCCTAATTTTTACAGACCTTTTGGCTAAAAGGGGCTATATAATGCCAATATATATGAAAATTGTCCACCGGTGGGAAATTTTCATAAGTTTTGGCATTAATGATCGAACATTTACTTATGTAGTATAGCGCAGCATAAAGACCGAAACCTAGTGTTTATACCGGTGGGAAATGTACTAATGTAGGATAGCGCTATAGCGTGCAGACACAATGACTGAAATCCAGTACTGATACCACCGGTGGTAAATAATTTACTACCGTTGGTAAAATTACTTTTGACACATTTACCGCTCCATACTGGGCGTGTGTATTACATTACCGCCCGGATATATAAAGATATAAGCCTCCAGTAACGATTTACTGTCAAATAATGCTTAACTAAGCGCTTTTTGACGAAAAAGGGTGATATTAGTGTTAATTTGATATAAGGCTCTTTGCTGGGTAAGGGTTGATGCAAAATAAGGCACATACATGTATATGGCTTATTCTACGAATAACTATTAAACTTAGATAATTGTTATCAAATAGCTGAAGCCTTTATACTAGATCTCCCTTATTCATCACATAAGGCTTTTTTAAGGCTTTTCGGTGGATAATGTTTGTATAAGGCTTAAAAATTCGCATTATATTGGCCATATATTACTTCCAGCACCGGAATTTCAGTTCTCCCATGGCTCAGTGGGTAGCATGAGGTACATGCTACCTACAAGGCCCTGGGTTCAACCCCCTTTCTTCTTTTTATCGCCACCTTAAACATATCCTTATTCAAAAATAAGTCTTATATTAGCTTAAGAAATGCATAAGCCTTAAAACCCAAAAAGCCTTAAAATCCGAAAAAGTCTTAAAATCCGAAAAAGCCTTAAAATCCGAAATTATCCTTATTTGAGATAACGCTTATTGGTCTGAGTTTATTACTGGAGACTTAAAAAATGGATAAGTATTATACTCTAAAAAAACCCTTATTCAAGCCTTATTTAAGACTTATATAACGCTTATTTTTTTACCCCTTCGGGCGGTAAAGTATTAATCTCACCAATATTTTCGGTAGAGTTGAAGTTGAATTTTTATGTTTAGAATGCTCTCACAATTTCCCGCATCTATAGCTAGTGACCCATAAACCTATTTGAGGCGAGCCAAGGCATGAGCTCCTCTCGCCTGTCTAATGGGAGGCCTGGGCCGCTCGTCTCGTCTATTTCATGAGCTTCTAATTATAAGAGAAAGATTTTCGAGCTTGTCATATAATCAAACGTACCCTGCCGAGGCGACAGGCGATTGATCTCAAGTTGCCTCAAAAAGAAGTGGCTTTAGGAGAATTTTTAAATGTAACGCCGTCATTATCATTTTTAAAGCTCATGAGTATTCCAAACTGATTAAAATCCGAAGCGACTCTAGTTATATGAATGTGAATTTTGAAAGATTCTTACTCGTGGCCTCTCGTAAGCAATATGTATGTCGCCTTGTATATATACCACTGATATGACTATAATATATTTAGTGTTGGACATGAGTCTGTTCGAGACGAGCCTGACATAGAGCTCGAGCTGGCTCGGATTGTGCAAACAAAGGCTCAGAATGTTCGAGCTCGGGAGTATGGCTCGAGTAATGTGGTCCACGAGGCCACTCGAGGCGAGAACGGAGAGCAGTACCGAGGCCGCTCGGCTTTGCTTAACATTGGCCTTTCCTGGTCTCGGGGTTTCGGGGGGGGTGGCCTCGAGGTGTCTCGAGGTGTCTCGAGACCGCCAATACAGGAACTTTGGGTGATAATAGTGAGTCGATACCTAACTTAGTGCGATACCAACCTGAGTCTGTGCTATATTCAAAGATATACTCGAGCTTGGCGGCCTCGAGGCACCTCGAGGCCTATCAGATTGGTGGTTTCGAGCTTTCTTGGCCTTGTAAGCTCTCGGTATCGTCCGGCCTCGAGGTCATGGTCTCGAAGCAAAGCCGCAAGGCTGCTCGGCCTCGTGGATCACACTGGGCTCGAGTTTATGCTCGAGCTCTAATTCATATAGCTAAAAATAGTCATCTCGATATACTTTTCATTTTTTAAGGACTACAGCGATTCACAGGCATTTGGCGAATACACCCATTTGGCGAATTTGTATGTAGCAACCAGCCAGCAACCAGTCAAACTGCGAGTTTGACTAAGATATCCTGATTCTTATTGGCCGTGACCCCTGTTCGTCAAATGGGTGTATTCGCCAAATGCCTGTGAATCGCTGTACTTGTAACTCAGAGGATTTATCTTTGTTATACTATCCAATTTTGCCATAATCAACCTATTACTAATGATCCAAAAAGCTCGAGCCTAAGCTCGGGCTTTTCCAATATTGGCTCGAGCTGACTTGGACTCGTAAGAAGAAGAGCTCGAGGTGTTCGAGCCTAAAACTTGAGCCCGACGCTCGAGCGCCTCGTGCCCAACACTAAATGTATTCTTAGTTATACTAGTAAGCCCGGGCCCGTTTACGCCATATATTATGAGATTCTTGTGCCTACAGGGATCAATAAAAGATCAACGATAAAATCCAAGGATAAAAATTCGCACCGTAACATTTTTAAGGACTCTACATGGCTCGAAATACTCATATTACGAGCCTGACCCATGGCCGCGTGCACCCCCCAATTGGTACAAATCTTACGACAGTACCAAGCGCAAAAACTCTACATGCATCTCATGTCTCTGTCGGACTGGCGTCTTCCAGCCCATCTCGTGAGCGGTACATATTGAAAACATCGAATAAGATATAAGTCTCCCCTGTTATCCCTACCGCCCTAGTGAAGCACCACTAATACTAGCGTTTTAGTATGTTGTTCATATAGGGAGCCATAAGAATTTGACGGAGAACAGTACTACTGCCATCAGAGCTGGTGACACAGGAGGTGCAAACATGCCGGTTTGAGAATTCTGCTATTTCCTCCTGATCGAAGAGTGTTCAGGGTATGATGAGGGAGTCCACACACACGGGATATAGACAACAGAGAAGGTCGTTGTATTATGAAAAAGAAGAAAGAGTGGAAGAGGGGAAACAGCTTTTATAGATAATTTGATTGCGTGTTGCTGATTTCACGTGTACTAGTACTAGCTGATCACTACATGTACTTACAAAAATTACAAGCTCGGACGTAATCAATATTTAGCCTAGCTTGACTTATACGTACAAGTAGACCTTGTTGAAGAGCTACATGTATATATCTACTATGTCATGCCCAAAGCAATAATGGAACTTGAAATTGAAAATCAACCTCCTTAAACTACGAGAAAACGACATTATATGCAGTGATGTCGGGCTTCGTTCAAACCAATCAATTGGTAAGAGAAAAAAAAGAGAAAAAAAAAAGAACCAGGATGTTCTTAAGCATAAACGCACTCCATACACAAATCTCACACCTTTGTCGGTTCGGCATCTGGCAACCCATCTCGTGAGCGGTAGAAATTAAAAGCATCGAACGCCATCACAGTCGATAATGGTGCGAGTATCGACCCTTCGAAGATCCACTAACACAAGCATCTTAGTATAACTTATTACATATGGAGCCATAAGAACTGGGCGGAGAAAATTACTAGTCCTATATGAATTGTTGTTAAAACGCCGGGTGTAAACATGTCGGTTTCAGAATTCTGCTATTTTCTCCTGATCAAAGGGCCTGGGTTTAGGATATGACGAGGGAGTCCACGCACACTGAGTGCAAGTAACAGAGAAAGTCGTTCTAATATGAGGAAGAAAGAGGTGAAGAGGGCCGGGAAACAGCTTTTATAGACGATCGCGTGCCGCAGATTTCACTAGTACTGATCACCAGGTGCATGTATATACAATTAATTACAGCCATATTACAAGCTGCCCAGACGTAATTAATCGGTATTTATCCTCGACTTACGTACAAGTCCTTGTCGAAGGGTTATATATTATGTCATGCCTAAAGCAATAAGTGAAACTTGAAATTAAAAAACCAATCGCCTTAAATACGAGAAAACGAGTGATTTCGGGCTTCGCTCAAACCAATCTATTGGTAGAAAAAATACGATATTCTTAAGTATAAATGAGAACCTCACACCTCCATCGGTCCGGCGTCTGGCAGCCCATCTCGTGAGCGACTCATATTAAAAATATCGAATATGTGTAGAGTCAGTGTTGGGAAGAAAATCGACCCTTCGGCGATCCACTAACATTATGAGCATCTTAGTATAACTTGTTTATATATGAAGCCAGAAGAACATGACAGAGAACGGTACCAAGGCTATCAGAGCTGGTGATGCAGCACCGGGTGGATGAAACATGATCGTTTTGTCTAGAGAGTTTAGGTATTATGATGAAGGAATCCACACAGTAAATACTGGGCATGTATAGATAATAGATAAAGAAGGTCGATCTAATATCATATCAAGAAGAAGTGAAAGGGAAGAGGGGAACGGTCAAACTAAAGTATAGCTTTTATAGCTGATCGTAGGCTCCGGATTTCGCTAGTACTGATCACCAGCTGTATAAACAAATTACGTACAGCCATATATATACTACAAAAATATTTAGCCCGATTACGTACGAGTCCTTTTCGAAGAGTTATACGCGTATGTTATGTTATGCCTAAAGAAGTAAGCGAAAATTGGAAGACTAATCGCCTTGAATTACGAGGAAAAAGACAATACATGCAGTGATGTCAGGCTTCGTTCAAGTCAATCCATTAAAAACACGACATCCTTAAGCACAAATACCCTACATACGCAAACCTTACACCTCCATCGGTCCGACGTCTGGCAGCCCTTCTCGTGAGCGGTAGAAATTAAAAATATCGAACATAATCAGAACTTGTTTACATAGGTGGCCATAAGAACTCGATATGGAATGGTACCATGGCCACTATAGCCGGCGTCATAACGCCGGGTGGATGCAACATGTTGGTTTGAGAATTCTGCTATTTAATTCCTTCGAAGCTTCCGATCGTTTTAATTTTGTCGAAGGGATGAGTTTAAAATATGAGGAGGGAGTCCACACACACTGGATATAGATAGAGAAATCGTTCTAATACGAAGAAGGAGAAGAAGGAGAAGAAGAAAGAGGGAAGAGAGGAAACAGCTTTTACAGATGATCGCGTGCTCCGGATTTCGAAATTTCGCTAGTACTGATCACCGAACCTGTATAACTACCGCGATAGCGATATATTACAACAATATTTAGCCAGATTACGTACGATTCCTTGTCAAAGAGTGATATGTTATGTTATGTGTAAATTATGAAGAAGTGAAAATTAAAATTGAAAAACCGTTCATCTTGAGTTACGAGGAAAAAGATATTGCATGGAGTGATGTCAAGCTTCGTACGCGTTCAAACCAATATATGTATCTACATGTATTGGTAGGAGAAACATAAAACAACGCGTGACACAATACGATATGTATATATAAAAATAAGCCGATACTTTTTTAAGATAAGTCTTGCTCTTACCAGGAATAAGCAATACTACTGGGAACCTTCATTTTCGCGTTATTTGAGTTTCTACTAACGTTTAGTCCCCACCCCAAAATCGGCCAAGTACCCATTAAGAACAACGTCTTTCACTAACATCAACAGGCATTCATAAGCACAAACAGTATTCTTAAACACAGGCAGCTGTATTCTTAAGCACAAACGCCCTACATACGTAAACTAAACCTTACGCCGCTGTCGGCCCAGCGTCTTCCAGTCCATCCTGTGAGCGGTACATATCAAAAACATCAAACAGAATATAAGTCATCCCTGGTACCACTGCCGCCCCAGTGATGTAGCTCTTATAGGTGGTTGCGTGCTGTGGATTTTGCTAGCACTGACCACTTGTATACATGTATATATACAATGATAGAATCACTGTTTTTGTAACGCTTATGTAGGAGTTATAGCTTACATGCACGTACCAACCTGTAGGTACAGTAACTAAATATGAAGGTAGCTATGGATACTCCCGTGGTTATCACCGGCCCTGGGCCACCGAGTCGGAGTCCTAATGTGGTCCATGAGCCGGTTCGAGTCGAGCCGACATATAAGCTCGAGCTGGCTCGGCTCCTGGGAGAAAGAGGCCCGCAAGGCTCGAGCTTTGGTGACAGGCTCGTAAACTGGCCCGAGCCGGAGGTCAATGATACAAAAAACAGGTTATCCTTGCACCAAGTGTAGCAAAATGGTAGATATAGGCTTCGTTTCATGGAGTAATACTGTGAGAGGGGATTAATTATTTAACTGAGTATTCAAGTGGGTAGAAATCTCCTTTTTGCTTCTTTTATAGCTTCTAGAGCCTAGCTCAAAGTAAATAAACTGAGCTCGAGCCTAAGCTCGAGCCTTACTATAGAGAAAACGGCTCAAGCCGGCACAGGCTCGCTGGAGGGTGAGGCTCACTGGGCCCGAGCTTCCGGCTCATGGAGCACACTATCACCGACCCATTCTATCACAGGCATATATGCAGTTTAGAGCGTAAGATATTTTATGTCAAAGGTTTTCAAACTGTTTCCAATCTTCTATGGCCTATTGTCTCCTACAACACGAGTATAGCGCACCCAGGCCCTAGCTTGGGCAAACAAACAACTTCATGAGCCTCTGTGCCTACCTCTACTAACTAAAACTTCCCCCCTTAAATCTTGCTGTAATTATTTCTCTTTCTGTGTGCCACGGCTAAGAGGCCCGTGGTTGATTCAATTAAATGGTGAGACTAGAGCTGGGTGTAGGGTTAATTAACTCCTCAAACGAAGCCCTGATATTGAATGCTTATTCTATGTTTTCGACGTGTGAGGGGCATTCGACAGGCGGTGGGTGTGGGGCAGAAAGCAAGTCACATGTAGTATGCATATATATAACGGCTATCGTCACTGGTGATCACTCGTTAGAAACTAACCAGATTCGATATAACGCGGTCAATTGGTAACCTATACGTCAACGCCATATAGAGCATATATGGCCAGCTTTCTGCCCCGCGCCCCCCGCGCCCCGCTTATAAAACATACCTAGAGGCAACGAGTGGAAAGTTCGACTACTCTTGTAGCAGAGTTTGTGGCTCTAAATCCTTCTACATAGTCTTCATTTCCTTAGGATGGCAGGCCGGTAGTGGTGGTGAGGTAGTGGATGATGCACATGGTAGGTTCGTGGTGGAGATCATATTAATTTATGGTAAGACTGCGCACCGCGCTGTCCTGTATAATCGATTGTCCTTTTTACCCTATATGTAACGAGCCTACTATGCATTCCATGTAAGGCAGCGATCTGTCGTCATAGTTAATCACTCGTTCCTAGTACGTAATCAATTGCTGTTTATAGGAGCACTAGCGAGAATATCAAATCTGTCCGTTTTGGTACTTCGTAGCATCGGATTAAGGGACAGACTTGTTTTTCGCAAGTGTGTAGTTGGCTACATGCACTATACCATAGGGGGGTCTTTATGTACCCATAAAATTCTTGCCATGCCGAAATATCATAAGCTTCCACCATCCACTATTGTATTGACATGAAAATGACTAATAGTGACGACTGCATATCGCCTAGGCTCGGAAGCCAGAAAATAATATCAATAATGCATTAACCGAGTAAGTTCCCTAACGACCAACACCAAGATCGGAATAGTTGCGCTGATACCGGCTATGGTATATTTCGGATATGTAGCCATGGTCTTCCTGGCCGTCATATGCCCCGTGGATATTGACACAAAATACAGAAGTAATATTTTCATAAACATTTCAATGCCCCAGAAATACCACCCAATGGTCTTTACAATGCTTAGTCCGCTTTCATTCACTCCTCAGAGGCAGATTATCTAGCTTACTTCACCTCCGTAAATGCCCTGAACGTGATAAATGGTTCCGCCTGGCCTTCCTCCGCAGTAAGTACAACCTTGGCAGTCGCACCCACAAAATACACATGTCCCCTTTCCACCTTCTCCTTCTTTGGACCCACAGAGATTTGGCCACCACCACTAGTACAAATCACAATACTCGGCCCTTCAATCGGCTCGAATGTCTCCGCCTGCCCTTCCTTCAGTTCAGTCTTGATAACACTGAACTCATCAATCGGCGGGTCATATAATATACTTGTGGGTTCTGCGGCTGCGTGGTTTGAACCCCCTGCGTATACTTGTGGTTTCATCTTCTGTTCGGAGATAGGCGCATAGGAGTATGTGAGCATATCGACAAGGTTAGGAACGTCCTTGAATTTCGGGGTAAACCCAGCACGGACAACGTTATCGGAAGCAGCCATGCACTCAATGATATCACCCGAGAGGTATGCGTGTGGATCATCTGCCTTGAGGAAGATTGCTTCCCCGGGTGATAGTTCAACATAGTTGAGGAAGAATGTGCAGAAAAGGCCAATGTCGTCGGGGAATTGCTCGTTAAGGCGTACTATGAGTTGTGCCAGCTTAGGACCACCATATTCCTCTCCACCAAAGTTTCCTGGGCACTCCTTGGCTTGGCCTACAAGCTTTGGGGCGAACTCGGCAATGCGGGACTCGGGGGTGTTCATGAGTGCTGAGAAGAGCTCTTTTAGTGCGACTTTGTTGGTGGTAACATCATCCGAAGATGTAGATGCTACGGTGGAAGTGAATGCATCACAGACGTCTTCGGAAAGAAGGGAGCGGAGCGCCGGAGTAGATTGGAGGAAGGAGGAAATCTCTGCGAGAGGGCGGAAACCGCAAAAACCGTCAAATGCGGTGACGGCGATTGCCATCTCAGGCTTATGGTTATCATCTATAATTGATTGAAACGGTTTAGTAAGGTCCGAAGTTCATTTGCAAATGTCTAAAGGACTGGAATTAAAGGATTGGCCTCCAATTGGCCTCCAATTGGCCTCTTTCACTTTGAAAATCTCCTAAAAATATGACCTTAAATAACAACTTACCAGGGTAGTTCTTGGGATCTTGCTTGTGAAGTCTTTCGGCAAGCTTCTTGTCAGGATGTGCCTGGATACTGAGCGCCTTCTGGATCGAAAGAACTTTGAAAAGAAACGGGAGTTTATCTCCGTATATTTCTGAGACGGCGGTGGAGAGGAGAGCTTTATTCTCCGTGACAAGGTCCAAGAGTGTACGACCAGACGTCACATCTTTCGAGGGGTTTGAAGGATGAGTTCCCATCCAGAGCTACTTGTTACGTAGATTGTCAGATATACTCTCCCAAAATTATTCTTTCTTTATGGAGATCATACTTCAGCATATGGCTTGGATTCCTCAATCTTGAAGCCTGACTGCGTCGTCGCAGCGGCGAAGCGGGCAGCAGCCGAATCGTTTCCAATTTTGCCTTTTTGACATTAGCATCGAATTCGGTGGAGTTGAGATATTTTTGGTAGACTCACCCCAATCATAGGAGTTGGTGCCTTTAATAAACCCCACCTATGACGTTAGCTCTCGCTGACCAAGCTCTCCATGCACCTAGTCATATGCTACCCCAGAGAGTGGTTAAACAAACCGCATTGTAGCTGGAAAAGGGGTACTGGGAGCATTGTGTAAGCTGTGTGAGAGAAAAATACAGTTCCTAGGAGAAGAAACGATGCTAAAAATTCTGTTTGGAACGAAGGTATGAGTATGTTTCGTTTTCAGAAGTTGTTTTGCGAGAGCACCCCGCAGGCCAGGGTGGGATGTTACACACGGCGCTGCGTTGTGTTGCTTACCCTGCTTAATCATTGTGCATGGATGCTTGCCTGCATGAGAAACCGTTGGTGGACAACGACGCGTAAAGTACTGTCCGCAGATATCGACGAAACCTTGCAAGGTCTCTCTATTATTTATTGGGGTCGAAATAATATAAACTACCAATTAACACTACAGTAGGTCTGTCCGGATTAACCCTTAGCTAGCTAGTCAATCCCCAAAACTAAAGTTCCTAAGCTCAGCCTATCATGCCGCCAAAGCAGATCAAGGGAGAGTACATCGAGACGGTATGTCATACAGCAGTCACTTTTCAACCTCCCCGGAATCCTGAGCTAATCCCTCCGTAGGACACTGGCAACAAAGTCTCCCGAAAGTCCGTAATCCTTGGCTCCCAAAACATCATTCTCGGTGGTAAGACCATAATCCAAGCCGACTGTACCATCCGCGGCGATCTTCGCCGGACAGTTGCCCCAGGCCAGCAATCCGGGAATGTTGCGATTGCGGTCGGCCGTTACTGCTTCTTGTCACGAAGTAGCGTGCTACGGCCGCCGGGGAAGATTGCTCGGGGTATTTATAGCTATTACCCGATGAAGATTGGGGACCACGTTTTTGTTGGTGAGGGGAGTGTCGTTGAGGCGGCGCTGATTGGAAGCTATGTCCATATTTCCAAGGATTGTGTGATTGTAAGTTACCCCCTAGGTGGTATCATTGGGATTACCGAGACTAATAGTGCGATTAGGGAAAGTTTACGATCATCAAGGACTGCGTAAGAATAGAGGAGGGGACTGTAATAGCACCAAACTCCGTAATACCAAGCTTTTCGGTAGTTTCTGGCAGGCCAGGCGTGGTAGTTGCCGAGCTACCTGAAACTGCAGTGGAAGGATTGGAGCGTGCGTAACCTTTCAATGTGTTTTTGAAGTTGCTGGATCATGAGTGGCTAACGTATTATGTGTGCCATGCAGTGAAGAATATATACCGGATGATATAGGTTTCTATTGGTGCTTCAGTCAATCATGTATACCATTGGGAGTTCAGTGAGGCGTTTCTCATCTTTCTGGCGTTTTGACAACGGAACGTTTTTTGTTGTAATTTGAAGGTACTTGGCGGCCAAGGCCGGGGTAATTAACAAAGACTTATTCTCATGCGATTCACTAAACCAGGCGCATGTAAATATGCTCTTACACTTTGAACGACAAGAGATCTCGGCAATAGTACTTCTTTGTCCTAAAAAGATTCCACTGAACCAGGGCAGTTATCGCACAAATATCCAGATATTCGGCGACACTGCATGATGTAGTAGAATAAAGCTACCAAAATGAGACCATGATATAGTCTAGCTCTTGATATTAAATATCTAATTCTCTCAGTGCTGCTGAATTAATACGATTATAATACTCATGATATTAGGTACCGGCACTTATCCCTAAAGATCTGACTGAACCCTAACCCTGCTGCCGATCTGTAGTAATTACCGGTTGACGACATGCGATCATGTTCTGATTTGACTTCACGACGGCAAGCTCAACCAATATATCCAATATACTTCAATCCTGTGCTCTAAAATCTCCTAAAGTAAATCTCCGACGTTAATAGAGCTTTATGGAACCTACACCCAATACCCACCCGATATATATTTGGCCTCCACACAGCTTATAGTCTGCAAGATGTCAATATCAATTTATCCTCCCACCTCGAAAATGATCTCTCTAGATTCCCTAGCCACAGAGCTCCTAGTCCAAATCGTCGACTACATCTCCCCCCTTGGTGACCTCAACTCCGACTCTGACTTCCCCACGCTCAAGAACCTCAGCCTCACCTGCCACCGCCTGCACTCCATCTGCTTCCACCCCCTCTTCGCCTCCATCCGCCTCGAGCTAGAATACAGCACCTCCACCACCACCATCACCCGCCTGCGCGACTTCGTGCGCACCCACCAGCTCCAGCCAACAATCACCCACGTGACCATCAACTTCGAGCACAACTGGAACGAGTCCAAGAACGGCCTCGAGCTCAAAAAGCTCCTTTGGGAGCTGCGCGCCTCGTCCCTAACGCTCTCGCTGCCGCGCCCCGCGTCCTCCGTCCGCGAGAAGTGCGCAAAGTGGAGCTACAACCTCGACACGCTGCAGGCGCTGAAGGTGAGCCTGCTGGACGACGACAACGAGCTCAAGATGCTGCTGCTGCGCGTGTGCCCCGTGCGCCTGCTGGTGGTGGAGGATGGCTGCTTCCGCCTAATGTATGAGAGCGACGATGCGCACTTCCACCACAGCCCGACGCAGTGCCCGGGGGTGGCGCTCATGAAGCCGGGGATATTTCCGAACCTGGCGAGGGTGGTGTATTCGGCGGCGTGGCCGAGTTATCATCGGTTTGATAATTTCTTGGGGTTTGTGTGCCGGTTGCCGGTGCTGCGGGAGTTGGGGATCACGTTGATGGGGGGGCAGGATGAGGGGCTGAACCTGGGGAGGGAAGGGTATAGGTGGAGTGGGGATTCGGTGAGGTATAGAGAGATCGTGGCGGAGTACGCGTTATTGACGAGGAAGGTGGAGCGCAGTATGGAGGGGTTGAGGGTGATACGGATCGGGGATATCATGATACCATGGAAAGAGGTTGTGGGGGCGCCAATGGGATGGAGAGAGGATGTGAGTGGGCAGAAGGGGGATCTCGGCGGGGATTGGAACGGGGTCGGGGTCTGGAGGAAGATGCCCCCGATCAAGATAGAGACAGTGGGAGGGAACTCCTAATAATACATCATGTATCCACCATATATATAAGTAGCCTATCGAAATAGATAACCTCGATACGCACATATATCCAAACACTGCTATGGCTAGGTCTTTGCACATGACTTACTCAATCGATCGGAAAAAGATAACTGAGCCAATCATGGTGAATCACTCAGTCATGCCCATCATGAGCTGTCACCCACGATCGAGGGTTGGGCTTTGAGGTATTCGATATCAATTGAGCCCAGACCACGGAATTGAGGAGTCTCCAGTACCGGGCGTGCACGGTGTCGTTTATGATATGAAAACCGTTGCGATGTGAATATACGCTTCTAGGTTTGCCTGCAGTAAACCAGTTTGGGCACGAAACCACGAAGTCCACAATACCCAACCCCCATTCCCGTGAATCCAAAGCAAACGAATCGAAAACCTTCGAAGCTACATGTGGTGGAGGAGTAGCAGGCTAGCTCAGTGTACTCGTGATATAGCCCTAGCTATTATAACCCGATCCTAAACACCCCAGCCCGCACAGCGCCTACAGCATGGGCCCGGCATTACCCATTGATCGGCCTCAACATCACCGCAATCACCTCACAACACGTATCACCAAAGCTCATCATACGATTCATTTCCCGCTCGCGCTGCACATCCAGCCCCCGTAGACAGCTGCTGGACGCTAGTTGGAGACTGGGTCTAGGGTATCTACGTACGATTTCAGCTGAACTGGATACACACTACAGGGGAAAAAGGAAAGATTTCTTTTGCTATGTGGTTGCAATTGAAATAGGACTGGACAGAAACATTAGGTATGTCCGAGTGATGGTTCATGATCATGATCGATCGATCATGTTTGTGTTTACAAGTCAAGAAGAAAGCTACGTCACGGTACTCTTGTTTTATATATACGACATTGATTTTAATAAGAGGGGTAATATGGCCGTGGAAGAGGTAGCTTTGCAACGAAGAATTAGTGCATTTCACAGTAGTTGCGGTTCAACGAGTGATTATTGATATCATATAACGACTTATCCTACAGCTGACAGGGTGTCTACAACCAATACACACATGGCCGAAACCGCCCCCGATATATGTCTTCAGAGAACTTATCTCCATTGAAATGAGCAATTATCTCACGATGGAACCATCGGCCACCAAAATCGAAACTGCCGCGATAGACAACATCGAATTCCGGGCCTAAGCTTGTTAGTGAGTGTATATCTTGATTACACTTCAAGATTAGAGTATCTATGGAGAATTTAGAGCTAATGTACATTGCTTAGACTACGTACTACCGTCATCCTCACACGATGCACCAATCTCAACCCAACGAGCACAGAAAACAAACTTTAGCACTACACTCTGAGTTTGCCCCGCAAACAACCACACGAAAGCCCCCGCAAGAACTCAAAGGTCACCAGAAATCCCCAACACTCCCAGACCTAAAAGGTGCATAACCTTCAGCTCCAAACCCACTATTTTACTATATCCACCAAACCTGTTCCGTATCATGACCGATCACTCGACCGCGCACCCGCGATGACTGTATCCATGTCGTACCACACTCGCTAACTGACGCATAACTTAACCTCTTCGCGCGGGTTCCTGCTTGATGACTGTGCGAAGGATGCATGACCTGCGTGATTATAGTTTGAAGCCTTAATGGTGGTGGGTAAAAATAGAGAACCGGGTAATAAGGTGTATGGTGTGCTTTTCGAAGCTTAAGGTTCTGGTGGTATAGGGTTTATGTTTTTATTTGTGGATAGCGAGTACTTAAGGTGTAGGTACTGGTACGTTACTATCAGCCAATCAATCAAAAAAGGCTCCGTTACTGTTACATAGCGAATCTTACGGGGCTACTACGCACGCACGGGCCAGAGGGAATATTTACTGTGATACAAATTTTACAAAAAATACTTGAAGGCGTATAGAATAAGATAGAAAATAATAAATGAAAAAAATAAAAAAATACCCGCACCCTAGCTCAGCAAACAACCTCCAACCCATCCGCAAGCCTGCGCAAGAAAGCAAAAGAAAGCAAAAAAAAAAAAAGAAACGCAACTCCCAAATGCAAACCACCTCCCCCCTTTTCCCTTTCCCTTGAATTTCCCCCTTCATCAAACCTCAAACTCTTGGTTCATCACAGCTCAAGCCACACAATTTTACCCCGGCCCCGCCCAGCCCTCGCCCAGCCCTACCAATGATCAATCCACCAACATCCTCTCCACCGCTCTCCCCGGCGGCTGCTGTATCCACTCCTTCCCCGCCGCCGCCGCATTCGCCCTATTATTCTCCTCCTCCTTTCTACTCAGTCCCTCTCTAATACACTCGGCAAAGTCCTCGACCGTCGTACCCCTGCTCCTACTGTCGAAGCGTTCCTTGCCCAGCTCGTCGTCCTGCGCAACGCCACGATACACCTCTGCGATCCCGGAGAACACCGCGCGGGAGAAGCCGGTCTGCGAGTGCGTGTCGGCAATCTCCTCCATCTCGCGCACGCAGCGGTAGGCCTTGGGCGGCGTGGCCGGGACGGACTTTTCGAGGAAGTCGAGCAGCGATGGGAAGTAGGCGGAGATTTCTTCTTTGAGCTCGGGGAGGAGGGAGAGGTTGGCGGCAGTGGTGAATGATTGGATGGCAAGGCCGTTGAGGCCCTAATATGGAAATGTTAGGAATTGCACGTTATTCGGGGGTGGGTGATTTTGTGTGATGCAGAGCTGAGTGAGAGTATGTGATTGTGAAGAAAGGGGGGAAGGGCCCGGGGCAAGACAGCAAATTGGAGATATAAAAAAGCAAAAGAGCCATTCATCCAGCCCCTATAGCCATCCCAATATCATCTGCTCTAATAGCAGTAATAGCAATAATAGTAATAGCAATAGTAAGAGAAGTAATACAAACCTTCGTCAATGACGCAAAACACATCTTCAGCCCACTCGCCTGCCCCACCCGGTCCCCCACCCACTTCAACCCCAGCGCCTCCTCCAACCTCTGCCCCGCCTCGCCCACCAATCTCTCCGGCCCGCTCACCACAATCCTCGGCTTCCTCCACGCGCCCCCCGGGTTCTCCGCCGTCTGCACATACTCTGGCGGGGCGCCCAATATCGCGCCGTCCACGAACCTGACGCCGGTGCTGATGATTCCGGGCCGCGCAAACACCTCCTCGATGCGCTCGGCGAGCCCCGGCGAGGTGGCATTCAGGTCGATAAAGTAGAGCGGCGGCTTGTTGCCCCGCGCAACATAGGTGTATGCGTAGCCCACTCGCCGGGCGGTGGGCAGAGACTCGGAGGGTGGCACGACGGACAGGATAAAGTCGGCCTGGTTGATCAGGTCTACGTCTGAGGAAACAAATTCGATCTGGCAGGCGGCAGCGCGGTCGGTCGTGTAGGAACTGCGGCGGGGGAAAAGGGAAAGAGGGACAATGGTTAACTAGACTATCACTGGAATAACAGAACAGGCAGGACGAGCAAGGAAGAAGAAGAATTTACTCATAAGCTGTGGCACTGGGTCTATCATGTTATTCAATGGGTTATTTGGTTCTGGTTTATTTAATTGTAACAGCGCATGAGGGGGGATGAGGGGAGAAGAGGGGCAGGGGGAGAGGTGGTGGGTAAGCATATAAAAGCGGGGGGCAGGAGGAAGAGGAGGAGAGGATCGAAGAGAGAGAGAAAAAGAGAGAGATGGAGAGAGATTCAGAGAGGGAGAGAGAGGGGTTTCGTTTACTACCTACGACCGGAATTGCTCGTTATTATGCGAAAGTTGTAGGCCCGCAGCAGACGGGCGATACCAGCACCCATCTCTCCTGGGGACAGGATCGCTACAGTCGCTGTGGCCATTAGAGCAGTGGAAGTGACAGAGCAGTATCAGTATCAGCAGTATCAGTATCAGTATCAGCAGCAGCAGTAGTAGTACTAGCAGTGAAGCTGAAGCAGCAGTAGTAGACCAAGGGCGAAGAGAGCGGCTGTTAAGGTTGTTAAAGAAAAAAAAATATAGAAAAATAGAACAATAAACAAAACAATGTGTAGGAGATTAGATATAGAAGAAAACGGGTTTCAGAATAAACACGGTTTCAAAGAAAACAAAAAAACAGAAAACAACTGATTTGTTGCCTTGATATTAATGGGAAAAGAAAAAAGGGAAGGGGAGAAAAAGGGGACGAGTCGAGGCGGGGGGAAGAAGGATCTAGAGCTTCGTTTGCGGGGTAGATCAGGCAGGGCAGATTTGCAGGAGGGAGCGAGAAAAAAAAAAAAAAAAAAAGATAGCTACGATAAGCTACGGCGGTCAGTGAGTTTTATTTAAGGGACTGGTTTATCAAAGTGCTGTCTATAGGTGGGGCGGTTATCACTCGCTCGCTCATGCACGCTCACTCACTACAGGATGTAGGTACTCCTCCTCACTCTTCGTCGTTGGTGTTGTTTTTTCCCGCACTGAACGACGAGGTGCGCCATAAAAAGGAGTGAGCGAAAAAGAAAGAGTCTACACTAACAATGGATTGGCTGCCTGCTCGCCTGCTGGCTGTCGAGGGATCAAGGTTCCATGGATCCATCCATGGTTCGTTCATATGGTTCACTAACGTCAGTCACTCTTTCCCTGCGATGGGATCGAGATGATCTGATCTCATACCCTATCGCACTTTGACAGCTCTTTGTTGTACGGTACCTGCTTCCATGTAAGGAATCGAATTGCCATGTTTGTGCTCTGAATGGGGAGGCCGAGGAGAGAGTCCTGTAGAAAAAGGCAATCCCGATAGCTCTCACATTTATTTCTATGTAGCTTATCGATACAGTGGTCCAGCAACACTTTGACAAGCTACCATGCCCATATTATACATACACATCAAAAAACCCACAACCTCAAATTGCTTTCCTCTCTCTGATGGGGTCCGAAACAGCAGATATTTGATGGCGTCACATCACCACCACCCACCACTGGTGCGGGATTGGCAAGGCACGGGACAGGGTGGGGTTTGAACGCAGAGAGGTTGAATCAGGGAAATGATGTTTGATTGGATTTGTTTGAAAAGCTGCGAT